CCCATCAACTCCGGGGGCTTTGACCTCTCCTGCATCACCAACCGCTATTGTGGCAACAGGTGCCTTCCCTGCTAAAGCTCTTGGCAATGTCCTCGGGCAAGAACCTTCAAGACCTCACAACATGGTGTTGGACAAGACGTATTTAAAGCTTCAAGGCATTGTTCCCTTCTTCTAGTCTCTGCTCTCTCCCCTGCCGGGCAGGCAGAGGGACACCCTGCAGGAGCTCCACTGTGTCTTAGTGACTGCTGTTGGTGCCCTCTGTGAGCTGCCTTTCTTCTTTAGACTCATTAAATTTTTTGCATCCCAGCCTGGGCCCCTGAGTCCTCCTTCATTGTCTGACATCTCTTAAATTCTGCTCAAGGAAAAAGGTGGAGGAAGGAGAGGGTGGGACTTAATGCAGTGCATTTTACTTTTCACAGATAAGTTATACAGCAACTCTTAGTTCTGCACTGCTTTTTAACAGGAGCCATGCAAACTCAGTGTGACCTCTCTGTAAGGACTGCACCAGTTCACTCTAGCCAGCCCTCACCCCTTACCTTGCTACCTAGACAAATTTGAGGGCTAGGAAATCACCAGCTGTATGAAGTTTATAATTGATAAGTGATGGATTCTGTATTTGCAATGGGGCCACCTTGGCTGTATGGACAGACTGGGGAATAAGGTGCTGGAGAACACCACTGCAGAAAGGGATCTGGGAGTCTGGGTCGGTGGCAAGTTGGATATGGGCCAACTGTGTCCTGAGGGGCATCAGGCACGGCATTGCCAGATGGTCAGGGGAGGGGATTGTCCCACTCCACTCTGGGATGGGAAGCCCAGCTGACACAGGAGACAGGGATAAAACTTTCCTATCTACCTCTGGAGTCAGTCACTTTGGATACTACCTTGCATCCACTCAGGAAATTCTCAGTAGTAGCCAGATGGGATAAAACTGCTAACAGAGCATGGAAGGAGCAGGAGTGAGGGAGCAGGCCTAGGGATGGGTGCAGATGTGGTGTTCCCAGGAATGTAAACCTCGGGGGAAAGGAAGGCTGGGGGCTGCTGGAAACACTGATAGTAAACAACTGAACTTGGCAGGAATCACACAGGAGGAGTCAGAGCAGGCAGCTGCAGCTTCTGCAGATGAAAGGCGTCACCTGGCAAAGGCCAAACCATTTTGCCAGGAAGCTTGTTTTTGAGAAAAATCTTCTGAGGGGGAGACAGTGGGTGGTTTCCCCTGTGTGGAGATGCCAGCTGATGCAGTTCCCCTCTCTTCCCTGAGGCCATGAACAAGAAATTCACCTTTCCTAGCTTCGAGAGACTGATAGTCCTGCAAAGGGCTTTCTATTAACAGAGCTTCTATTAATAGATGTAAATGTATTTATGAATTTACCAACTTTAACAATGTCTTAAATGTTATCAGTCTCTTACACAGCTATAACCCACAAGGAGTTATTTTTGCATTTTTCTGACACTAGGCATATCTTTTTGGGATAAACAACATCTGAATGCATTAATTAACAGGGCATGGAGATGCTAAGAACCTTTTAAACACGTTATTTGAACTATTTTGTTACAGCAACTGCTTCTATTCAGGTCTTTGAGGGCTTAACAACTTTCACAATCTTAACAACTTTACAGTTTAAGCAAAGTCCCGGGGAACTGATGAAAATAGAAACAAAACCTTTAAGCTGCAGTGTTTCTACTAAAGGTTTTCAAGACAACAAGACGCAAAGTTACATTAGTTCTGTGCGCTTCTTGGAGACTCGCAGCATGAGCTGTGAGGTTGAGCTGTGCAGAAGGGCAGCTCAGCCTTGCAGTTTCAGCACGAGGAGTGCGGCTCTTTCTTGGCCTCGGCCTCCCCGGAGCTTGTTAGTTCTGTATTATTCTCTACTGCGGACGGCAGAATTGCCCTGCAGGGGGGTCTTCCGTCGGTGCCGGTTGGGTGCTGTCTGTCTCCCTCTCTGCTCACGGCAGACCTGTACAGGACTCTGCCTTTTGTCTGCAGTTCGTGTGGCCTCGGCCCCGCCGGCTCGGTGGGGGCTTGTCCCGCCGCGCTGCTGGCTGGCCCCGGGCCGCCCCCCGTGCATCCCCAGCGCGGAACGGGCAGCGCTGGAGGGGGGCTTTTGCAGAAGGTAAAACACACACTCCTGCCGCTCGTCCCTCGCCCGCCGGCTCCGCGCGGGCTGCGGCACGGCCGGGATCCGACACGGCCGGGATCCGACACGGCCGGGCTCCGGCAGGGCTCCGGGCACGGCTTCGGCAGCTTTCGCTCGTCCATTTCAGGTGCTGGCGAAACTGCCGCTGCCGGCGCCGAGCCGTGTCGGGTCTGCGCTCTGACCGCACGGGACCCAGAGCCTCCACTGCCGTGCTCCGCCTCGGCATCTCTGCCGCTTTTGCAAGCCCTGCGGCTGCACCCCTCCGCCGCTGACCAACACTGCGAACAGTGCTTTTTCAAACCCCGTGCCGCCGCTCGCCCGAGGGCGTTGTGGCTGGCACCTATTGAAGGGATCTTGGCACTGCTTCTGCGGAGCGGAGCGAGTGCGGCAGGATTTTTCAATAGAGGCACGGAGGCAGCCGGCGCAGGGGCAGCGCTCTGTCCCCGCACTGCACCAGCGCTTGTCTTTTTTCGGAGGGGGCAAAACCGACTCCCTCCTGATGTCCGCTGTTGATTCTCCGCTTACCAGAATAACACGTTTTAAGCGTACTTCCTCAGGCTTGGAGACTCGACAATCTGGCCGTGGGCAAATTGGTGACGCCCAAACCGCGGCGTGGCTGCCACGTGCCTGCAACTTGGCAGTGCCTCGTGTACTCAGGGTCTGTCTCTCTCCAACAACACGTAGTCCGTGCCAGTGCTCACTCATGCCCGCGTAAAACTCAGCCCAAGTCCTTTGTTAGGTCCTTTAGGTTTGCACGCGGTCCTCTGTCTGCTCCCGGTGTCTTGGAGGAGCTCTTTGTCTCTTAGGGCTCGTGGGGGAAACAAAAGGTTTAAAGCTTTTCTCCATGGACAAGTTTAATTTTCTTTGTGAGGTTTTTAAAGTGTTCACATCTTCTATCTCTGCTTTCTTTCGTGTCTCTCCAAATTTTTTCCAAGCAGTCACACTAAGGACTTCTGCTTAGCAGGAATCCTGATCTAGTTATTTCTATTGTTTCCCTTGAATTTTAACTTCCCATGCAGGCTTCTTACCTCAAGTTCTTTGTAGCTTTACCTTTTCTTTCTTTCAAAGCTTGCTCTATCAGGTCTCTCGTGTGCCCAATACTCATATTTTCGGAGCTCCCACGCAGTTCTTTGCTGCACGACGTCCCAGTCGTCTTTTTGCACTGGTATTCAACGTCCTTTGTTTAATGACATTTTCTGCCTGCTTTTAGCTCAGTATATGACGTCGGACTTTTTTTCAGAAAGAAGCATTCCAAGTTTTAAAAACAAACTTGTTCGAATTCTACCGAATTTTTCCTTGTTACAAAGCAGTCTCTATTCATCCCTGATACAGGGTTCTGCTCCACGCACGGGCGCCAGATATGGCGTATTAATGTAATACATAAATAAACCATACGGACCCAGCTGGCTGGTTGGGGGTTCAGCACCAAATCTTCTTTATTCAAATGAGACAACACCTTTTACAGGCACCTCAAAGTAACACATGACTCCCTTGGCCCAGGGTATCTCACTGCCCATGTGTGGGAGTACTTCAGGACTTCATTTCCCAGGATGCCTCATCCAGCATCCTTCCTGTAACCCGACTCCTACAGAAAACTTTGAGTACCATTCCTCTTGATGTAGAAGAAATCCACCACGTGAAGGAATGACTGAAGAAAGATGGGGAACACCATTGTTGGGACATTCTATTTGGATGGTCACCAACAGCAACTGGAATTCTTAATAAGATATTACATGCTGTGATTGTTCACCTTTTTGCCTGTTATTTTGATAATCAGATTGTATATTAAGATGTGGGGGATTAGAAGGAGATTACCCCGAAAGCTCAGAGATTGCTCATAGAATGCTTTGTCCCTTTCTCTCTCTCGCTTTGTCTTCTTTTCCCTTTTCTGTGGGTCAGATTCATTCAAACATGGGAGAAATGTTATGAATTATTAGTAAAGCCATAAGTCATTGGCATAAACTCAGCCAAAAGTCATTTCCCACTGCATATGTTGGGTATGGCTGATACCAGTCTGGACTTGTGAACTACCCTGCATCTTGGGCAGGAGCTGGGTCCTGCCTGTGCTGAGGGACTGTCTGAGGTACGAATGTCACATGGACACTGGACCAGATAATGGAGAGGAGGAGAAGGAGGAGATGAGGTTGTGGGCTGTGCCCAGCCATTGCTGTTTCCCTTGACCACTGCTGTCAGCCTTTGGTGCCATGGTCTTGCTGGTGATCTTTGGCTGTTGAGCAGCCAGGGATGTTTTTGTCATCTCCCAAGGAAAGGGCACTACAGGGAGTTCCATCCTCTGCTTCTTCCACCTTCTTCCCTAAACAATATGGAAGGCTTTCACAGGAAGAAGGAAGAGTCAGAGGCCCAGGCTTGGATGCACAACAATTTTATTGAGTCTGAAGAAGAAAAGGAGTTGCCTCACAGGGAACAGGAGGAGCAGCCACTAAGATGTAGTGGAGCTCCTGCAGAGGGAGGGAGGACAATAGGTTGTCCTGGGCTGGCCTGGGGAGGCACAGATAGCAAAGGAAAGAGATGGAAGAGTGGGAGAAGGAAAACATCATCATGAAGCTCCAAATACAGTGTCCCAAAGTTCTGTTTTCAGTGCAGCATCATGTTGTGAGGTCTTCTTGGCCCAGGACGTTGCCAGCAGCTTTAGCAGGGCCGACACCTGTAGCGGTTGGTGATGCAGGAGAGGTCAAAGCCCCCGGAGTTGATGGGCACTCCGTCACAGCTGAGGATGCTGCCAACGGCAGCGGAGGTGGAGGATCCCACCACGGTGTTCTGTGGGAAGGAGCTGAGGATGGGCCCGGGCAGGGTCACCACCACAGCAGAGGGCTGGATGGCAACGACGGAGTCCTGGCACTGCCTGACACAGCACTCATTGCAGCTGTTGGCCAGCGGGGTGGGGCCGCAGGGCTGGCAGCAAGGGTTGCAGGGCTGGCAGCACGACATGTCTCTGGCTCACAGGGGCACCTGGCACACAGGGCAGGGACAAGCACAAAGCAGACACACATGAGAAGCAGCCCTGCACCCAACCCCCCTGCAGCCAAGGCACCTCCTGCACCACATGACACTGCCCAGCCCAAAGCCCAGCAGCCTCCTCAGACAAGTCCCAGCCTCTCTCTGCACAACACCTTCTCTCCCCTTCCCTCTCCCAGCACAAGCAGCTCCCAGCCCTGGCCTAACACAGCCCATATCAGCTGAGACCTGCAGTGAGGAAAGACGAGGTCTTGAAGCAGGAGGAGGAGAAGGAGAAGAGGCTTCGCACTCACCTGATTCCCAAGGAGAAGGAGGTGAGAGAAGTGGATGTGAGAGCAGAGACTTGGGCTGCCTTTTATAGCAGTCCTGCACTGCCTCAGGCCCACAGGCACCTTTGTGCAAGTCATAATTTTCTGACCAGCTCATGTCAGTTGTGAACCATCCCAGCTAATGGTAGGGGCTGTGTCCTGGTTTCCTGCACTGCTGCCTTTTCATTTCCTGGCACATGCCACGTGCTTTCCCACATGAAGGCTTTTGAAAGTGCCAGGAGGACAAGCCTAAGGATTTCCGGGACATAAACACGTCAGTGCAGGCAGATTGGTCAGATCAAGGGCTGGTAGCATCCCTTGCAGGCAGGTGATGTGAATCTGTGTCAATTTGTGTGTTTGTTTGTGGTAAAGTTGTTGTGGCACAGTGCACTTCTGTCTTGGCATCCAGGCAGGAGACCCTTCTGCATAAGGTTGAGCTGGGGGGGAAGGGGTCTCAGTCCTCCCCTGACATCCCTAATTTCCCCTATGCACCCAGAGACCTGTGGATGAAGCTTCTGTTCCTGTGAGGGGCTGGGGTTGTTGCCTCAGGGAAAAGGAGAAGTTGTTGAGAGAGCTTCTGCCATTGAAGTGTTCGTCCTCCCTCGACTCCCAGGATGGGACTGGAGCTGCCATGAGCTGCAAAGAGACAGCAAGGGCTGTTCTGGTGGGTGCTCTCTCTATGGCTCCATGGCAGCAACTGGCCGTTGCCTGCCTGTGTCATCCTGCCGGCCCATGGGAATAACCTTCCCTGTCCTGGAGGTGCTCTGTGGGATGGGGTTGGGGATGTGCTCTCTGCGAGGCACCTCAGCCCTGCAGATGTGTGCAGTGAACGTTTGGGGCTGCCTGGGCACTGTGTGGATGTGAGGGAAGAGCAGGGGACTTGTCTGAGGTATCCTTGCTCTTGGATCTCTAGGCAATGCCCCCTTCTCCTGGAGATGGGTGGGAAGGTGTGGAGGAGGCTCTGGGCCAAGGTGATTTCTCCCTCATGACCATCTTCTGTCTGAGCCTTCTTCCCCAGCACAGCTCCACCCACAGCAAAAGGATCTGCCTTAAGTGCTTGTGGGTCTGCTGACCCTCTGCAGCACCAAGGTCCTCCCAAGAGTACAGCATGATTTGAGATCACCATCTGTAAGGGCATTTTCCAAGGCAAAGGGCCACACTTCTGGGTAGAGACATAGCAAGGACTGATAGTCACTGGCTGCGGAGTAGCCGGAGCTATTGTCCTCACCTCCAAGGGCCAGGGCCTGAAGGAGGCCAACAGGCAGTGGGTCCTATCCTCTTTGTTCTCTAGAAATGAGAAAGGGTCCCTTAAAACAAGATGTCTCTGAGAAAATGCCACAATGAAAGGATCACTATGGGCAGCCAAGAGGCAGTGCTCCACAGAGGGAGAGAGGGAGGCAAGTTGCCCCAAGGTGGTTTTGTTGGGCTTCACTGCCCAGGGGATCAGAAAATAGCAAAGGAATAGAGGGGAAAGGAAAAAGCAGAAGGAGAGAATGAGAGACAGGCCATATTCTCAGAGAATCCAGTCTGGCCCCTTCCAAAGGACTGACACCATTAGCAGCAGTGGGATCTGCTCAGCCTCTCAAACCAACGGCCACGATCTCTGTCGTTCTGTCTGGCATCATCTTCTGGATTCACAGGGCTCCTTGTCCAGTCTGTCTGCAGTGTCTGTAGCAAGGGGGGCACCTTCTGCTGCCACAGTAGCAGCTGGTGATGCAGGAGAGGTCACAGCCCCTGGAGTTGAGGGGCACTCCGTCACAGCTGAGGATGCAGTGGAGGTGGAGGATCTCGCCTGAGAGGGAGGGCAGGCAGGAGGCAGAGCACAGGGACACCTGAGGAACTGCCTGCAACCCCACTAAGAAACAGAGGCACCTTCTGGGTGGGGAGGTAGAGACTATGCAAGGAGAATGAGGGATCTCTTCCCTGAGCACAGAGGGTTCCCTTGGATAACAGCAAGGCCCAAGGACACCCCTGTCTTCCTGTAGCAAGGATCCACATCAGCCCAGCCCCAGTCCCTCTCCATATCAGCCCTCCATCTGTACAGCCTTCAGGACAATGTTGTTCAGCTGAGATTGTCGCAGGAAGAATGGGAGACCCAGCTGAAAAGGGGGATAAATCTCTTCTGTCTACCTCTGGAGTCCCTGAATAGGAACTCTGAACAGCTGTGTGGTCTCCCAGAGCCATGCAGTGCTCCCGGGAGATTGGATGGATGTATGAATTTCCTCTGAGAGGACTCATTCCACCCCGACAAGGCTCATGTCTTCAAAACCTTAAGACAATTTATCGTACGTGTTTGTGACTTATAGTGAGGCATGACATTGGCATCACCAGAGTGCCAAATGGATCTTTTGAAGGAATTTCCAGTCCAAGCATTTACTCTGTCTATGGGACTTCAAACCAACACAAAAGTTTCTGTGTTTGGAGGGAAAGTCTGTACAAAAAGATCTTGGTCTCAAAACTAGGAATGGTGGGAAATACTTTAAAGGCATCAGAAGGGTCCTGTTCCATTTCTCATGCCAGTGTTGAGCTTGAACCCCTAACTTTTGGAGGTGAAGTCCTAGTATGAACAGGAAAGCCTTGGAAGGAAAATAAACTTGGAGGATTCACTTTCTATTTCTACATGAGTTTGCTCAGAAGTAATCAATCAAACATACAAACCCCAGTTCTGATTCTGTTTTTTTAATTGAAGAGTTATACTAGCAAGCTATATTAGATCTTTGTGTTCCTATGCTTCCCAGGGATTCTTGGCCACATTATTGGATTCAAAGAGTCCTCCCAGAACAGCCCCTGCCCATTTCATGTCAGCAATGCCTTGGGAGCTGTGGCACAGCCGAGGGCTGTCCAGTTGCCCATGGGCAGGAGGGTCTCTTCCACCCTTGGGCAGTGTAGAAAGGTGCTGCTCATTGCTCAGAGTTGCTGCCGTGGGGCATCTGGTGCTGCCACAGCTCATGAAAACTGGCAGCAGGAACAAGTCAGGTGCTGCAGCCTGGGGGCACAACACCCCGAAACAACACTGTGTGGCCCATGAAAGGCCAGTAGTGCCCATGGAAACAGTGGCTCAAAGCACTGAGTGAGCAGGAGCCACAGCCCTGAGGGCACTGCAGTGACTGGCAGGAGCAGAGCTGTCCATGGTGACACCCCGTGTCTGGAAGTAAGGGCACCTCAGACCCAGGGAATGTGGTGCCCTGAAAGCAGTCAGAGGGGAGGGTGATGTCACAGAACAAGGTATGGCAGGAGGTTTGAAAGGTTAATTACATTAGGGTAAATAAGCTATTGTTCGACTTGTATATAATTTGGATATATCCACCTGCACTTAACATGTACAGACCCTGCCCCTCCCTCTGCCCCTGCCATGGCTTTTCCCCTGCCTCTATCTCTGTCATGTTCTGCTCTTTCCCAGATTTCCAGCCTGCCCAGCAAGGCAGGGGGAGGCAAGGACAGGAAAGAGAGGTAGCCCTGGCATAGGCAGGCTCTGTGCCTTTGAGCAGAGGGGCCCAAGCAGCCCTCCTTTGCCCTACAAGTTTTTCACAGCTCAGGCCAGACAGTGAAAAATTTCTCCTAGCCATGGCCCCAGGGTGCTGTATTCCATGGGTCCCAGACACACCAGGAATCCGGAAGCAAGGAAGAGGGTAGCTCTGGCTATTGCGTGTCTGATCAAAAAGCCAACAGTGCAGACAGAGGTCCCTGCTCCCCTGGCCTTCAGAAAATTTCCCAGGATTTGGCAGCTGGAGGGTTTTGGGCTTCTCCCTGCAACTGCTAAGCTCTCTAGGCTGTCAATCCCATACCTGTCACATGGCATGGAAAGGTCTGAAAGGCTTTTGACAACCTCATCTGGATACAGGGAGGTCCATTCAGATGTGGTGAAGGGCCCCATCCAGGCTTTTCTTGACCATCCGGTTGTGCCACCATGACCAGGACACCTACTGGCAACTCAGATGGGTGTGAGGCTGCCACGGAATGGCACCAGTTTCCCCAGTTGTAGTTGAAATCAGCTCTTGACTGGCCTCAAGTGTGTCAGATCTTGGGAGTTTTGGAGTCTGCTCCCCACAGCCCAGGACCTGCCAGCTCCTTACTTGCTCCAGCTGGGAGGCAGAGACTTTCACAGCCATGGCCAGGATACCAACAAGCACTGCGGTGTCAGGGCTCCTGGATGGTCATGAAGATGGTGTCTGTCCTCTCTGAGGGAGAAAGGTATTTCCCTTTCTAAAAAAAAAAAAAAAAAAAGGAGAAGAAAAAAAGTTGTGGATCAAGGTAAAGACAGAGGGATTACTTGCTGCTTACCGACAGAGGTAAACCCAGGCTTGACTTGAGGAACATCTATTCTACATTTTACCAATAAACCAGAGAAAGATTGCAAGAAAATGCAAAAAAACCCCCACAAAACTGAACTAAAATACCTTCCCTCCATCCCCAGTTCTTTTTCACAGACACAATGCCTCTTGCTCATTCCTCGTCCTCCACCCTTAAGCAGCACAGCGGGATGCACAACGTGGGGTTGTGGTCAATACACAACAGTTTCTTTCTATCTGGCAAAGATGGACTTTACCAGACCTGATCATGAAAAGCAGCAAGATTTTGGCAGTTTGCCTGAAGTTCACACCTTCTTGCCTTTCCAGACACACTTGCTAGGCATGCAGGCTCAATCTTTCTGGGAGAGGGGGTGTGGAAGTTCTAGTGCTTGGACACAAAAGGAGTTTGACTCAAATAATGTTTGACTTCCCTTGTGCCACACAGAGAATCTGTTCTACATCTCCAAGCAGAGCACAATCCAGATCCCAGTCCCTTCACTCCAGCATCCATTTGAGGCAAGGTGCTGCAACTGCCTCACTCAGCACAAGGTTGATGAGCTGTTGAACTGCATCTGGCATTGGCCTGGACATGAGGAGCCCCTGTCTTATCCCAGGCACAGCAACACTCCAGCATAAGGGGATCAATTCAGGGGCTTCAATTCAGTGGTCTGACAGAACCACTCAAAAGTCTGTACGCTCATACAAGGATAGGAAAAGTTCAGCAACTGGGGACTCTGCTGAGGAGATGCTGGGATGTCCCCTCACACAGCAGTCCTTGGGTGTGCAGGTGAGAAGCACAAGTGATGACCATTTCCTGAAAACTTTACCACAAACAAGACCACAGGAATGTCACAGGTGAACATCACTTGCCTGCATGAGATGCCACCAGCCCTTGAACTGAGCATTCTGCCCATGTTGACATGTTAATGTCCCGGAAATCCTTGGGCTTGCCCTCCAGCACTTAC